TTAATGTATAAGAGTTGGTTGATATTTTTATTTATTAATAATTTATTTAAAAATATTAAAATTTAGTTCATAAATAATTATGATAAATAAAAATTAAATAACATAAGAAGTTAAAAAAAATCTCTTAAAATTTTCTTGTAAAAAAAAACTCCTAAAATTATTTTCGCACAAGAAGATGTTCATATTTAATATATAAGAATTGATTATTTTTTGATTAAGTTGTTTTACTTAAGAAATGTTATACTATGTTTGGTTTAGTAGTAAGGGTGAAAATGGTGAGAGGTAAAGGAAACATTTGAGGAAAAGGAAAAGAGAAGTAAGTGAAAAATAAAGTAAAAATTGAAGTTGTTTGATAGGAAAGAAGTGGAAGAGAATTGAAATTATTGGTTTATATTAAATTAAATAATTTTTTAGTAATATTATAAATTAATCTATAGATATATTTCTTTATAATTAATTTGTTCATTTGAATGTCTTTTTATTAAATAATTTTATATAATTGATTATGATGACCATAATCAATTTTATGGAAACTTTCAGAGAACACCCTAAATACATGTGAGATCCATATAATTAATTGTGTGGCGATCATAATTAATTATATGGATGTCCAAAGAGCACTAAAATGCATCTTCATCCATATTTTTTGTCCAACTATATCCAAAGATGCATGAAGTTTGCACACTTTGTGAACTTAATTTGTGAAGCTTGTGGGCTAGCTAGCTTTAACAATAACGTTTCATTTTTCTTTTTAACACACTAAGACTTTAATTTTAGGTGGTGTGTTTGAACTTTTAAATTTTCAAGATATTAAGATTTTGATGTTAGGTTGGTGTATTTGAAAATTTAAAATTTTAAGACATTAAAATTTTGATGTTTTTGCTAAAATGTGTAAATATTAATATGTTAAGACTTTGATATTTTATTTAAAATGCTTGATGTTATTACAAAAGTAATTATATATATATATATAGTATTCTTTTTCATGTTTTCATAGTTTAAAAAATGAGAGAAAATAAATCTACTTCAATTTGATAAAAAAATATTTTTTAAAAATTTTC